ACCACCACCACCACCACCACGGCACCGGCGGCGGCGGCGACGACGACGACGACGACGACCGCCATGCTGCTACTACTACTCCTACTGTTGCTGTTGCTGCCACTCCAGCGACGATGACGACGACTACCAGCCATTGCGAAGACTAGGACTAGGACGAAAACTACGACTATAAGAAGAGGAGGAAGAAGAGGCAATGCTTCTGATGATGGCGGTGATGACGACGTATGATGATCATCATGGCGATGTTGATTCGTGATCACACCTATGGTGGTGGCAATGATGTTGATATTGTTGACAATGGCCAGCAGCATGGGGCATGATCAAGATGGTCATGAACATGGTAGGCAGAGCTGTGCAATTCGTATGGAGGTGACGGTCATCGGGTTATGACATTCATGGCTGCTGACAGCGAAGAGCTAGATCCTCGCCAGGGTATCTCCCCTTCACGGCTAAGGGCACGGCCCGTGCAACCTAAAACTCCGGAGAGGTGACTGAGGACAATAATGGATCACATCATTCACGCATAAAGCCAACACGCCGATTTCATCTTCAAAAAGATGAGCCGCTTAGCCACGCCAATGTTGCACATCTCGGCTCGTTCTCCCATCTTGACCATCGCAGCTCCCACAGTCGCTCCGCCACAGAAGATGGCGTTCGCGGCAGAGGAATCGCAGGAGGGAAATGTGGTGCTCTACACCGTTGTCGGCTTATACCTCGCACTGCTGACTGCAGCTTAGCTTGGACTACTCCAGTCTTGTTTTTATATTCTAGTCTCAGCCCTTTTCCACTTTTTTGTCTGTTAGAGTCTCAGCTTTTCCGCCACAGAACGTAGCCTTATGCAGATTGCAGACGAAGTGAGGTGATTGCGAAGCTCGCACACAGAAGGAAGCAAAAGCAGGCTGCGGTGGTTGGGAAGGTGAAGGCTCACTTCAGCGGCTCCTTCGGCAAATTCACGTTAATGCTCACGACCTTCTCCACAATTTACTCTGGCTATACCGTGACTGGAATCCCGGAGGAGGCTTTCAACAGAGGCTACATATCACTTAGATGGATCGGAGCTACCTTGGTAATCGTGGCCGGGATGTTGCTGCTGTACCCAAGGCTTCGGCGCTTATCCGTCGAGCGGAGCTACACCAGCCCTTTCGACTTCATCTCGGATCGCTTCGGTACCCGGCGTTTGAGGCTCCTTTGTGCAGCCTGCGGCGTTGTGCCGATGCTTTTGTATATCGCTGTGCAGATGGTCGCCTTTGCGGCTATGGTCGAGGGCATGACGCTCCAAGTTATCCCGAAAACACCCTGCATGCTGATCTTCTGTGTTATCATCATCACCCTGGAAATGTTGGGCGGCATGAACAGTGTCGTGTTCACAGATGTGGTGCAGTGCCTTGTCATGCTGCTCTCGTTCCTGGTAACTCCATTTGCCTTGGGGCTTGAATATGGCTTTTTACCAGAGATGGCGCCAGGTGATTGTGCCTACCTTAGCCATGTCTCTCCGAACTCCACAAGCTCTCATGCCGCACCCGTGCCGTGCGTCGGGAGCAACTGCCTTGCAGCCGGCTGCATTGCCGCCGTCAGGCCGGACTTTTTCTTGTTTCCCAGCAGATCCGATTTCTGTGATGTGTTATTTTTCCTCTTCAACATGTTGGCGGCACCGGTTACGCCTCACATGCTCCAGCGTGCATACCTTGCCAAAGCTGATGCTGATCTGCGTTGGGTAATCGGGGCGATGCTACTTGCGCCGTTTATTGCGCAGCCACCTGGGATTGTGATTGGTCTGGTGAAGGCCGCAAACAACCCGGCGTGGCCTCCCATTGACCAAACCGCGACAGCTTTTTCCAGTGTGATGGCGCAATTCAAACTGGTCGGAGTGCTCCAGTACGTGTTCGTGTCTGTGATGACCTGCTGTGCGCTTGCAGCCATCATGTCAACTGCAGACTCTGCGTTGATGGGGGTTTCGAGTGTGATCTCCAATGACATTCTCTCGAAGACCTTGCTTCCTGCTCTCTCGAGCGAAAATGTGGTCAGGGCAGGCACTGTTGCATCGCTCTGTGCATGCATGGTGTCCTTCTTCCTTGGGAACTACCTGACAAGTACACAGATGGGCGCCATCAAGAGTTTCAATGGGGGTATGATGATGCAGCTGTTGCCAGCTTTTGGCATGGGGCTTTACACTGAAGTGTCAGAGCGATCCATCACATTGGGAATTGTAGTGGGCCTCCTGTCGCTGTTGGTTCTTGTCATATGTGGAGATTCTTTAGGGAGCTACGTGCCGGACATTAGTCTCTCGGCTCTCCTCAACTTTCTCACGGTGGGCCTTTCCCATAGCATGCACTGCCTAGCTGATGAAAGTGCGAGCAAGCTTCTGAATGTCAAGGCGATCCGTGACATGATGGCCTCTTCCAGAGAGCCCAAACTGGCCCTCGTTGCTCTTATGCTGGGTCTTGCTTTGGCATCAGCACCATGGTACAGCACGCCCGGCGCGCCGGAACCCATAATCTTTGGTTTCCCTCGGTGGGGCTGCATTCAGCTTGGAGCCTTTGTTGTGGTATTTGCCCTGGGGATGCTAACCGTGACCCTGTGGAAGCCGCCCCAGCCTGCAGAGAAGACTGTTCCGCCTCCTTGTGATGTGCAAAGCGTTGTGGAAATGCCGGCCGATGCAGCCACCAAGTGCTAGCGAATATGCGGCTCTCAGCGCATTTCTCATCAACTTCGCCACGGTAGGGCTCAATTAGGATGTAGGCTGTGTGCCCCACCGCCGAATGGCGAAAGGGCGCAGGAGGCTTGCGCACGATCCACCATGTGAGGCAACAGCCACATGCAGAGACGCACGGTCACTTACACGGCATCCTATGGCATTTTGCACTTAAGCCGTGGGCTGAGGTAATGCGAAGAAGCAGGGAAGAAGCAAGTCTGCGAGCCCTGCGAGCTTGTCTCCAACGCCTGAGCCTCAGATCTTGGAGTCTGTTCATGGAGAACCTGTTTGTTTGGACTTCCTCGCAGAGCGTGTGGTTTCTGATTTCATCTGATTTCTAGTATTCTTGTGGCTGGGCACCGGAACGCATTACGAGCTGCCAGAGCGTGTTGAAGTTTGAGGTCGGCTGCTGGCTCCTCGCCGAAGGCCGCATTTTGCGGCGAAAGCTTTCCAACCTGTGTCGCACTGCGGCCACAGCTCAAGAAGCCCCGCAGCTCTACCTCCTCCCTCTGTCCAGTTTGATCTCATTGCAGCCTCTTGCTCGAGCCAGGTGCGTGGAGGGTCCGCGGCTCCATCGCCGGTGTCTGCATCGCACGAGGGCCCGGTTGCTTCGTCTCGGACTACTCCCGGCAGTGACTGCAAGCGTTTGTTGGATCCTACGCTCCTCTTGCTCTCAGGCCTTGCTCTCAGGCCAGTCTGGACCACATCCCGGCCTCGCCCGTGTCGGCATCGCCCGGTCGGAGCCTCTGAAGAAGACCGAGACAGAGACACACGGACGGGAGAACGCCGGCCGATCTGCGTATAGGTTTTTGTCACGCAGCATTCGTAATTGCCCCGGGCCTGCACGACAATAATTACAGGACATGGCTGGCATAGTTTCCCCAACTTGTCCCGCCAACTTTTAATTACGTAATTAGTCTAGTCGTTCCAGCATCGTAGACCACTCACAGGACGGTTTCAAGGGGCAGTCGTAGGCTGGGCAATGTCGCATTGGCAAACTCACAACCGCAGCCTCAGTGCTCAGCATCAGATACAAGGAGTTGTGGAGAACTCACGTGTTGTGTTCCGGGCCTGACCAGGCCTTCCTCCGTTTGAGCTGGAAGGAGAAGATATCTCTGGGCAGGCAGGGCCTTACTGACCTGAAGCCTTGTATGCATGTGTATATGTATATACCATATATAATATCATATATACGACACAAGATACACGTACATGCATACATGCAGACAGAGATAGATAGGCAGACAAATAGATAGACAGACACATTGGTAGGTATGGAGATAGATGCACGTATGCATAGATAGGTATTTGCATATCTGCACACACTGAACAAGATATGTGATCGACGTCCTGCCAAACATGAGCAGGCGGAAGATGAGGTGACCATTAGCAGGCCATGGAAGCCATCGGGGCTTTGACCTCAGCGAAGCTGCAGCTGTTTCCTTGATGTGGTTGAAGAGTTTGGGCGGACTTGAGGAGTAGGGTCTGGGGTTGAAGGGTTCCAGGTGGCTAGGCTCTCGTCGTCGCCGTCGTCGTCGTCGTCGTTGTGGTCGTGGTCGTGGTGGTCGTTGCCCACGACCCGCACGAGCGTCCGACTGAATGAATACTCATACTGTTCTTGATGGTAACGGTGGTGCTGCTGCAATCTATGATGATGATGATGATGGTGATGATGATGATGACGACGACGACCCCTTAGTCTGAGTGTGAGGGCAGCTTCGTTAATGTGACGGCCGGGGTGATGGTGCGAGTCGAGTGGAACTGGTCTGCAACAAAAGCGTTTCGCGACCCCCGTTTCGCCTGCATACGAGTCTCCGACGTCAACAGATGTCAACAGTTAACAGTCATCAACAAGGTTCGTCAGAATCCAGACCTGGGTTTTCGGAACTGGGTGAGCATGGTACAAAGCTGGGATGCCGTGCAGGGAAGAAGCTAAGTGTTTGCACCTTTTGGCAACATCTGCATTCGGTGCCCGTCCGCAGCCGCGGCTGTCTCGTGCTCCGCCAAAGGCGCAGACGAGCGGCCCGACGAACATGGTTGCTTTGACTCACCAGCTCAGCGAAGTAGACGTCGTAGACTCGTCGTTGACCGTATAAGTATAGTCCTGCATCATCTAGAAGCAAGCTTTCGACATTGAAGCGGTTTGCGCCATGAACGGGTGGCGGATCCCGCGGGCGCTGGCACACGGGATGGTCGCTTGCTTCTAGCTTCGAGGACAGGACGGAACAAACGAGGGTCATGTGGCACATTTCTGGTGAGAAATGGCGGCGAAGACGTGCCAAACTGACCACATGGAAAACAACCTCGCCTGCGTTGTCCGAGTCACCAGAGCCCAAAGGACACCTGCACATTTCTTCGCACGACGATGGAGCGTCCTGGGAAGACCTTGAGCGATGCTGCTTTCGCAATGTCCCTTGGCCATGTCAATGTCTTCACTCTTCATTTCGTTGCGCACTCATTCGGAGCTGCTGTCGTCGGGTATCGCAGCCACGGCAAGGGCCCTCACGAGTCGTAGCACTCCATGTCCCGAGGATAGTGCCTGGTGCTGACCAAGAAGGCCGTAGGACAGGGAACTGCGGGAACTGTGCAGAAGGGTTCTTGCGGGAGATTTTGTTTGCGCGGCTGCTGCCCATGGAGTCTCCCCGCTACTGTTTTAAAGCAAAACCCGAGCAAGACAATTCAAGCGCAGAAGCGCAGAACTTCATTGTGCTTGTCTCCAGCAGCTTGAAGCTACAGGCCTGCCCATGCAGTAGCAGGAAGTGATCCGCCCCTCCTCCTCCTTCTCGTCCTTTTGCTTCTTCTTGTGCTTGTACCACGACGATTATGAAACCACTCTTGCTGCGACGACTATGTATGACTCGGCTACAACTGGGATTGCCATTCATCTTGCGCCCACCAGAGCCACCAGAGCCACTGGTCACACTATTCACTATTCCTGCGACTGTTGTACTGCTGACGACTACTACTACCACTACCACTACCACTACCACTACCACTACTACTACTACTACTACTACTACTATTACTACTACTACTACCCTCCTCCTGCCGGAGCCAAAAGAAGCATGCGTGATTTCAGGCTTGCCTCGAAGGGGACCGAAGCCAACACGAGCTTATCTCACGGATGGCTTCGAGCAGCTGGGACACAGAATCCCATGAATGAAGCTCCATGCCCCTGCGGGGCTTCCAGGATTCTCGTAGCATTGTAGGCAGGGATAGCTGTTTGAGTTTGAGCTTCGGAAGCTGCTTTTGTCGTGGGCTGTGCCAGTCATGCAAGGGCCCCTGTAGCCCAGCCCCCAGAACCAAATAGCAAAGCTCAGGTCAGCCAAGCTCCGGCAGCGCAGTAATGACGCCGTCGAGAGCCAGGCCAGCCCCACGAATCGAGACACCCGGCATAAAGGTTTCCTTGAGGTTTCTCTGTGGGCCGGGGATGCTGAGCAAGTTCTGATTTTTTTGAGTTCATTGCAGCCGTGACAGCACCCGGCAGCTCAAAAAACGCCCCGCAGGAGGGGTCACAGCTCAGGACGCGCGTGGTCTGGGAAGGCCTGCAGCCCTGCAACCTCCCAGCTCCAGCTTGGGGGACTTGGTCTATTATTCTGAAGGATCGGGCCAAGGCCAAAGCGGCCAAAGTCAAAGCCCAAGAGGGGCCTTCTCGCCAGCGCGGACAACCGGAAGATTCAGGTTTTTGCCCGAGAGCTTGAAGACAATGCCTGTGCCGCCAGTCTTCCCCTCCGTGCGCAATCGCGCGAACGCTCCGACCGCTCCGAATGATGAAGAGGATGCCCTGGAGGCACCAGACTCTCCCCTGTCACCCGGAAAGACAAAGCGATCGCCCAAGGCGAAGGCTATGAGCCAGTCCTTCTATCTTGACAGGCCCAAACCGAAGCGCTTGCATCAGGGCGGTGCCTCTGGTGGGGAACAGTTGCAGCTCACGATCGAGGGCTTCGAGGCACCGAAGAGGGAAGCGAAAGATGAGTTGTCCCCGTCGCCTTCGAGCAGCATGAAGAGGATGGTCCTTGAGAAGGACGCAATAACAAAGTCTTGAGTGCAAGTTCAGACCGCGAATGCTTTTTTGCGAGTGTTGTGCACAGAGCTTGTGCGTGAAGCCAGTCTCGAGATCCTGAATGCTTTCGGTTCGCAGGAGCACGATGCCAAAGATGTACAAAAAGCGAGACGCCTGAGCTCGCTTTACGTGCGGGGCTGGACGCAAAGAAAGGCCATGCCACCTGCAAGCGCATCGCACTGTGTCATCGTCCTCCGTCGTCCTCGGTCAGTGGTCCTACCGTCGTTTGTCGTTCTCCGTTCGATGTTGTCATTTGTGTCGTCGGTCGTCGTCGAGTGTTGTCGTCTTCCTGTCGCCGTTCTTCTCCACGCGTCACTTTGGAGATTGCGGAGGGACTTCGCCTTGCCATGTCTGTGTCCGGGCGCACGTTATGCAGTTATGCGTTCAGACGGAGTAGGCGTGTGATGGGTCTTGGAGCGTGGCCCAGCAGATGTCTAGGTTGTCTTCTGCCCTGCATCTCTCCCTTGTGTTGAGATCACCGGCCCACGGGCGAAAAGATGCCGAGCCTAATGTGGCGAAGATCCTTCAAGCTTAGAAGCTGAAAGTTGCTGCACGTGGTCTTCGCTGTTTGGTCGTCCTCCGTCCGCCCACCGGCATTCCCGCCCACGCGCCTGCTCGTCCGCACTTCCGCCGGTCCATTGCCGTCGTCGTCGTCGTTGTTGTTGCCACTGCAAATGTTCCATGGGCACAGGCATCCAGCCTTGTTGATGATGATGATGATGATGTTGTGGAAGATGGTGCTATTGTTGCTGCCTCTGTTGATGCTGGTGACTTGTGCTGTTGGTGATGGTTGAGGTGGTGGTGGTGTCACTGTGTCACGGTGCCCTTGGGAGGATGAGTCCGACTCCACTGCCGAGGGTGGTGCCAACGAAGAGGCGCGCACAGAACATGTCTGTCCAGCTGGTGCTCGATGTAAAGGCTCGCAGTTGCAGAGTGGATCCCCGTAACACGCGCCATGCGGCATGCGCACGTTAGCAATTTCCAAGCCACTGCGGCAAAATCTGTCGAGGAGGAGGAGCAAGAATCGCCTTTAGAGCGCCTCTTGCAACTTCAGAAGGAGCTTCAGGAGCCGACGTGTGGGAGCTTTTACTTTTTGCTCACGTGGAGCTGCGGCACCTACTCCTTTCTCCGGCGTGGTTTCTTGTTCGTGGCCATTTCTGGTTTTGCACTCTGAGCCATTCAGATAGTGTGCTGGAGCCGAGATGGAAGCTCGATGTCGCTGCTATTGCTAGCTGCTAGCTGAGATCTGGTGAATGGCAGTGCTACTCTTGCGAGCTCTCTGTGCTTTGCTGCAGGAGGCATTGTCGTTGCACGCTCGCGGTTTTGCCATAGCGCCCAGCCTGCAGTGCCATTGCAATCACGAAGGCATTAGAAGTGCCAAGCCGAGGAGTTGAAGGCCATGTCCATTGAGGAAGAGAAGGAGATGCTGGAACTGGAAGGTTTAATCGAAGAGCACGGGCTGACAGGGAAGGCTGGGGTCGTAGCGCCTCAGACGTTTTTCGCCCGGAGCCACGCGTTTCTGCGCACAGGCTGCTCTGGCCTATATCCTGTGTGCCAAGTTGGGATCATTGGAACCTCGGCCCGTTTGTTCTGGAGTCTTAGAGTGGACGTAGTGGTAGTCACAGAAGTTTTCCCTGCTGAAGCCAACGAGGGACCGGTACAGCTTAAAGTTTCTGTAGGTGGATCCCAGAACTGTTGGGTCTCAGTGAAGTGCCGAGCTACTGCATGCCTTGAAAGCTTGATGGCCCGGATGCCCCACAAAAGCAGTTTCAGAAGAAATCCTGCTCCCACCCTGCTATCGTGCGTGCTTCTCGGAGATCCCAGGACCAGCAGCTATGGTGGATATGGAATTAGCAGGATTTCCAAGTGGCCGGCAGATAACGCTAATGTATGTGCACTGTGCACTATAGTAGATATGTTTATACTGATGCCGTGCCTTTGCGTAAAATCAAGCACTGTAATGCTATGTGCCAACCAGAAACCAGCAGCTAGGCCTGTAAGTAGTTGGGTTCTTGGCTTCGTCCAAGCTTCTGCGCTTGGGTCTGCGTTTCTGCTTTTGTTGGATGTGCCGCTGCCGCTGCTTTGCTCCGAGGATGCTGCCTTCAACTACCTGGATGGTAACAGTTCGGAGGCTTTTGCTGCAGTGTCCTGGCACACTGGCTTGATGATTCTTCGTGTCGATGCTTGCAAGCATTCAGGCCGTACTGAGCATGCGGAATGTCGCTTTGACATTGCACTTTCTGTGTGATCAGCTTTCCCCGTCTCGACTCAGCTCAGGATCTTCCAAAAATAGCAGGCCTGGTGCATAAATCTGCCGGAGACAGATTCATGCACGGCAGATGGGCTGTATCTGCAGTTGCTTTTGCAGGCTTGGGCAAACAGCAGATGTTCTCTTCGATCACGAAGGGTGGGACAACTGTTTCTCGCGTGCCTCGGAGCTGTAGGAGCTCTGCATTTTCAGAATCAGATGTCGATTCTCCTGTGCAGACGTGGTAGGCTCTTCGGGAAAGACGGTGACAGAGCTGTGTGTAGGATTAGGAGAAGGTGTGTAGGCGAGTGACGTGTGAAGTCAAGAGCGACCATGCCTCGCATCTGCCATAGCTGCCACAGCGCACGTGCTGAGCCCTTCGACGGATCTGAGGAAGCATGGCACGAGTACTTCGCTGGGGTCGAAGATTCGCTGCCGGCACTGCCAAGCCATATGCGACAGAAAAGGCCCAGCTTGTGCGACGTCTGATGACTTTCCTTGCAGTGGCATGACACGAGCAGTTGCTGTGCTTTCGACGATGCGCGACGAGTCAGCACCGCCCATCGTTGTGAGGACTGCCCAGAAGCCCCGAGTTCCCGAAGCTCCGCCTCCTCTGCCTCCACCGCCACCTCCGAAGCCGAAGGCGCGTTTGGATTGGAAGGCCTTGCACCCCGCTGCAACGCCGGCAACTGAGGAACCCAAGCCTGAGCCTGAGCCGAAGAGTGAGGAGAAGAAGGAGACTTCGAGCGAGTTTGCGAAGCCCTCCCGACGGCTCTTCCCCTCTGTGAAGGAGTCGACTGGGGTCGGGTGGAAGAAGCTGCGCATGGCAACCAAGAAGCTGAAGACTTTGCTGCCCGACTGATTTAGAATGTAAGAGCGTTGGGAGGGTAGAAATTCCAGGGCAGTAAATGATACCACTCTGAGCGGTTGAGGAGCAGCTTCAACACGATGCACGAGGAGCAGCAACAGCAGCAGCAGCAGGCTCGTTTCATTGAGCTTGCGAGCATTGCCTGTGCGATCTTGGCCAGAGCATGCTGCCTGCCTCATCTCGCTTCCGAAGCCTCGTGTTCGTTGTTCTTTGTATACGTGAGCGATGCACATCTTATTCAACTGGTTTTGGGCACAGGCTGGCGTTTCTCCTTTCTAATGATGTTTGAGGTGTTTATTTTCGGGCAGCGCAGCCGCTCTCTTAGCAACGCTCTGTGAGTGCTCTGTCCCGTTGCCAGCTGCTCTGGCCTGGAGGACCCCCAGGAGGAAGACGAAGCTTTCAAAGAGAGGGCAGCTCGATTGCTCGCAGGGCCGTGTCGAATCGGTTCAGACATGCCGCTTGTTCTGCGAATGCCTCAGGTAACGATGCAGCTGCAGGGCTTGTGCCCGGACCGGGATGCTGAGATGAAAGAACTTGAACACGACACCTTCCAAACTTCAGGTCCTCACGGTTTGTCATGGGTGCAGGACGAAAGCGTCAAGCTCATGAACCTCTCCAGAAAGCAGCGGGCGGTGTGCATGCAGGCTTCGCATTTTTGCTCATAGCACAAGCCGGAGTGAAGATGAGTGCGGACGGTCGTTAACTTTGCAAGAAAACGTGGGGAAATGTGAAAAAAAACACAAAGCCTTTGGATCTCCAGTTTTGATCCGCCATTTCGTGCTGAAGCCACGTCAGAGGCCAGGTCAAAGTCAAACCTTCAGGAGCGAAAGCAAACCAAGCCATGCTTGGGATGGCCTCGCTCAAAATCGATGACGGCAACTAGGCGATGTGCCTGTCATCCATGTGGTCCATGTGATTCTTGTTATACGCGACGATGTAGAATCACGTCATAGCAATTAGTCTAACCTTCGAATTTTAGCTGTGAGCTTCTACAAGTCACCATCGTTTGCGCGTATCGTTTACAACTTCGATGCCCGCCATGTGCTGCAAGCAAGCTGCATTGGTTTTGCGACGGTGATGCCCGCCAAACAGTGTATATAACCACAATGCAAACCCTTCAAGCCGCAGTTGGTTTGCGACGTTATGGTGGTAAATCACCGCATGAAGCAGCGCTTGAACCCTGTGACATGCTTCAGACTACCGTTTACAGGCAAACTCGAGGAATGAAAAAAGTGTTCGCTACCGTACCCCGCTCCATGTCTGCATGGCAACTCTGCTGTCCACTAGCTCGAAGTCCCAGCCTGGCATGTCTCGGAATCAGGGAGCTATAATAACATCAACAGTACATGTAACAATAACAATATCAATAATCACAGTAATAAGAACTAATCAGTAGAAGCACGCAAATAATGGCCTTTTGCAGGTTGCCAAAGACTCCGGGCTCTGGTCGTCCACCCAGGGATCCTCGCTCTTGGTCCTGCGGGAGGGCCCTTTCACGGAAGAGATGCGCAAGGCCGGTCGCAGAACGCCAGAAGCACTCGACCATATGCTCCTGAGTAGAGAGCAAACCCACGACGAGGAGATCGCAAACCTGCCCCTTGCTTCCGGTCTTCGCCTGCTTGTCTCGAAGATTGGGCCAGGCAGGGCCCCGGAGAATGCAGGTAGCAGGTATCTGCTGATACTTCTTGGTCAAGCAGCCAATGCAGGCCTGGTCCTACTTGGGCGAATGCTGACGGACATGAACGGCATGCGAATGTCGAAGGCCTGTAAGTGACGGCGGAGCGATGTCAGTCATGCGGATGACGACGACGACGACAGGTATGACGATGGTGGTGATGATGGAAATGGTGGTGCCGGCGGCGGCGGTTGTGGTGCTGGTGGTGGTTGTCTTGCTAATGATTGCGAATGACGTAATGATGACGGCGACGACGGTGTCTATGATCAACATGTCGCGCATATCCATGGCAACGTTATTGGCAATGCCGATGACGATGATGGTTAGGATGATTATGAGGATGTATGATGATGAAGTCTGACAGAGTGCCCTAAGAATGACATGGTGACATGAAGAGTCGGGCTGCGGCCAAAGACGGCCGAATACGAGGACACGAGGGCCATGAGTGGCGGGAGACATGTTAAGAATTTTGGCACCGGATGATGAGTGATACTGTGGATGCTGATGCTGGGGATAGGGGTGGACAGAGCTTCGGTCAGTCTGAAGATGAAGACAGACAAGATACTGTGAATGTATCGATGATGACGACGATGACGGGGAATGGTATGCTGGCGCCGGTGCCGGTGGGGGTCGTGACCCAAGGGGATGCGAGGACATTTCGGTGAAGCAATGAGTAGACGAAAGAAGACCCGGGCCATCTCGGGCCCATCTTTTCTCGCTTTCTGCGGAGGCTTGCGGGAAGTGCCCCAGTTGCTGCGAGGAGTTATCTTTGCCTGCAGTAACTTGGCCTCGAAGGTCCACGGTTTCAGGCAGCTTGCGGTGATGTTTATCTTGAAATAGCATTCGTGCCTTCTTCAATGTGGCCTTCTTCAGCTATAGCTTATAAGGTGGAAACCACAGAAACCTCACAAAATCCTTGTCATGTGCTTGAAATTGCGAGACTGTGGGCTCAAGTTTTCGTGCGTGAGCTGCAGCTGGGATGCCCAGGGCCCAGTTGGCAGAAAAACGTTCCTGGGAAGTGCAGCCTTGCCCTTGTTCCTAACCGAGTTGTGAGAGTGTAAACCGAATTCTTTAGAATTTGCTGGGATTCTGACAGGGCCGGCCGGAAGCTGAGAGAACCTTACGTAAGGATGTCCTGTGCTGGGAACAAACAGGATTTGCTGGAACATTTTTTGGATCTGCCGGAAAAAAAATCGGGTGGGTTGGGCTGGGGAAAGTGCGATGTGTTGGGATTCTTGGGAACCCGAGATGCAAGGAATTTCATAGGTGTTGCCTAGGTTTTTCCAGGATCGCTTGGGTTTTCTTTTCTCTGGTTTTCATGGGTTTAGGAAGTGATTCTCTTTGTAACCGTCTACAGTTGAAGAGACCCCAACTGAACAAGGCGCCTAAGCGAAACTCTGAACTGTAAGTTGTGCCCCTGAACCCTACACCCTAGCAACTTCAGCTGGGCGGGTGGGACAAAACCCTGAACCCTAAGTGGAAAAAGGTGTTTTTTTTTTTAAACAACCCTAAGGACTGTGGATCTGGGGCCGGGTGCTCCTCCAGAGGTCCTAGGCCCAAGGCATCCCTACGCTGCCTAAGCCAAGACGGATTCAATGTTTGGAGGTTGTCAGGACTGACATTAGACTTATGAAACAAAACATGATGCAATATATTGTAGTATAGGTTGGTATAGTCTAATGCAGTACAACTAGACTAAACCCCAAACCCTTTCCCGAATCAATGTGTCACGCTGACTTCTGCACCTATGAATCCTCGCCTGGCTTGTCCGAGTTGTGAGAGTAAAAGTATAACATCGCTGCTTAGCTTCCCCGCCGCTGCAACGCGTTTGGTCGCCGAGGAATCGCCAGCTTCCCGCAGACTCTCGGCCAGAGGTCAAGCGGGGTCAGTTATTAGAGCGGGAATCAGGACCAGGAATGCGAGTATATGTATCATGTATCATCATTTTATATTCTCTACTCATCTAACCATATGTATATATATATATATATATATATCTCTCTCTCTCTCTGTACATATGTGTATATATAGTTGTGATTGTATGTTATGTTATATACTAACTATGGCTTTCAGAGGTTGCATGTCCGCCCGCCCTTTGTCTTGCAGAGCCGAGGCCTCATGGACCACGTTGAGGAGCAAAACCAGAAATTTCGAAAAGGGGGAAAAATAGGTAAAAGGGGGTTTAGGGTTTAGGGTTTAGGGAGGACGCTGTTTTGGTGCGGAATTAGTCTTGGCGTGTCGGAATCGAAGACGGCGTTCTTCAATATTCGAGAAAGAGCCTTCTGGTCGTGGGCACAGCCTTCAGCCCATGCACGGTCAACGCATCAAACTGTCAGGAGGATGGCTACGATGTTGACATCTTCAATGATCAAGGCACCACCTGCTCCCCAAAGCCGAAGCGCGTCCTAGCCCACTTGTCACAGGTAGCGACATGGAGATCAAGTCGGCGATTGAAGCCCAGCTTGCCGGCTTGGAAGTGGATGTGGCTCGGCTGGTGTTGAGGCAAATGGTAGAGCAACGGCACGTGCTGCAAAACTCAACCTTCACCATCGCAACAACTTGTTGCTGTTCTAGCAACTGGCCTTTGAGACTAGGCTATGAAGGGCTCGCGATCAGCTCGGTTCTTGCACGCTGAGGCTATGTTCGACTATCCCGCTGGAGCCGGGCAGGCCGGGCGCCAAGCCTCCGACTGGTGAATTTGTCCGCAGAGCTTGTCTGTGTACTACAACATACACAGGAAGCCATCATGAAGAAGTGCACACACATGCACCATACAGGTTGATTGCATGCTTGTGATTATTCATGTATGTATGTATGCATGTATGTATGTGCTTACAAATAAGCGTACCCATACAGGAAATCATGGTGTCATTGTCATGGACATACATCTAGGCACATGGCGCACATGTCCAGGAATGCGTAGGCACGGGCAGACAGACAGGCATAACATGGGTTTGTGATATGTAATGTTGTAATGCATATATACATGCGCGCATACTTGCATTCATCAATCGAGGGATGCATGCAAGTTGCGCATCTGTGCACATGAACGGCGACACTACGTACATAAGCGCATGCACCATACAAGCAGGATGTAGGCAGTGCAACACACGGACACATACATACCTGTATGTACAAGTACACATACAGTGACACGCACACACACACACACACTACAACGTACTATATATATATATATATATAAATGTCTATCTATCTATGTTCATATATATACACACACACACACATATATATATATATATATAATATGCATGGTCACCCCTTGGGGGGGGGGGCGAGTCTGTGTATGTATGAATGAATGAATGAATGTATGTATGTAATGTCACTCATGTAGTTAATGCAAGTAATGCAAGTACTGAAAATACTATATGTCTGTATGGCTGTATGCATGCATGCAAGCATGTAAAGTAATGTAATATAATGTCATGCAGTGTAGTGTAATGTAATGTAATCAATGTAGTTAATGTAATTATTGAAAAATGCATGTCGGTATGTTGTCTGTCTATCTGTCTGTAATACAGACAGACAGTATGTCTGTATGGCTGTATGTATGTATGTATGTATGTATTTATGTATTTATGTATTTATGTATGTATGTTCATCTATACATATGTGTGTGCACATGTAAATACATGTATACATACACACATATGTATCTGCGTGTGTGTGTGTGTCTGTGTATTTTCCATATGTATCGCATCCACTCTTCCTGCATAGCCGGAAGTCTCTTCGGAGCATCTTCAACTGTATCGTCTACTCACTGTGTGATCTGCTTGTGGTCCACTTGTGTGCTGCTTCATTCCAAGAAGGAAATCAGTTTTTTGTGATTTCGCCGAGGTCTTCCGCTCCTGCGTGGGCAAAGTTTGCGACAACTACGGCTACGAAGTCAGCGGAATGCACGGGTCGCAGGCTGAGCGGCTGGGCTTTGTCCTAGGCGTCGTTGAGACGCCTCCGCTTCGTCTAATTACATTGTATTGTACGTTGCTGGGATGTTTCGGTTCCGACAGAAGCCGTGGCTAGTCCACCTCTTGCATTGAAGCATCTGTGGTCGAATGTTGCAAAAGTCGATTCAGCGTCGCCGGCGCCGCGGGCAGGAGCGCGTCGTGGTGGGAAATTTGGCAACGGCCATGGTCAAGCTCCATACAGACCTCTCCGACCTCTCCTCTGGCACAGTGGAGCCTCTTTAGCTGGTTTAGTGTTTCAGGTTTTTGGCGGAGCCTGGGTTCAATACGGGGGGTCATCAAGAAGGTTTTGTGGGGCCGCCCTTTGTTAGGCTGCTCTCCCTTTCGTGTCTGCGCGGCTTTTTGGGGGGCTGCGAGGGGCACTGTGTGAGGTTTGGGCGCGAGATCTCTCGCTTGCAGAAGGCAGGATCGGTCGGATCAACGCTGATCGGTTCCTGTATAAGAACAACAAATACATAAGATAAGCTGTGCAATGCATAATATATGATATACTATATATATATATACATATATATGATAGAAGATAGTAAGCAGAATCGGTTTCAGCTTCCAATCACACCTTGTGCATGGAAGGAAGCCATTCGAAGGGAAGCCCGGCTAAACGGGTATTCCGTCGTCGAGGACGAGACGGGCTGCCTGAAGGTGTCGCGTATGCCACCTGGCCAGTATCGGTCACCCCAAGCGTTTTGGTTTAGGGTTCCTAACTATAAGGGTTCCTTTAAGGGTTCCTAACTACAAGGGTAGCTTAAGACTAAGGGTTCCTACAAAAGTTCTATACTAGAAGGGTTACGTACTAGAAGGGTTCTTATACGCTTGGTTACTCTAAGTTCTCGTGCTGAACTGGCAGCTTGCCGCTGGACGGCTGACTGTCGGGCTGGGTCGACTTGATGCTTGCTGCCCTGTGGCTAAGGTCCATACTGGTTCCCGAGTCGGAGAACCTGGGCAGCAAGTAGCTCCTGTAGAAAACGACGGCTACACCGTTATTATGCTACTACGGCACCATTTGTAGTTGCTAAGTTGCTAATAGATACTTATGATCGATTTAGGATTGCTGCTGCAACGACAATTAAGGGCTTACGCCGCTGCTGCCTGCCTACCCCGGCCCCGGCGAAGCAATAAGCATCCACTTAGCATGCGACCTGTGTGGTTCGTTCGGCTCTGGGGCCGTCGAGCAGGGTCTTCAGGGGGTGGAAGGGGATCCGACTGAAACCAGAAGATCTTGTTGGGGCGCATGCGGCCGGACGTTGCGTGTCTCCTTCACCCGCAGGCCCGCAGGTGCAAGTTCATCTGGCTCAAGCCGGATCTCGTGAAACCGCATTGCAGGTGACCTCTTGGGTTGACGCGAAGGCGCAAGTTCCTCTGCTCCAGCCGGGAGGGACTTGTGGACACAGACCCTCTCGGGCTCCGAGCTCGTGTGATCAAGTGAGAACGTTGGAGGGTCGGTTGCGGGTGGAGGGGGGGCGGGAGGCGGGGAGTATCGGGGGGGGGGGGGGGGGGGNNGGCGGGCGAGATTGCAAGAAGAAAGGCAACAACTGTGCCCGCAGCAGCAACGACTCAACGGCAATAGCGGCGTCGACAACAAGTTCCAAGATTCAACAACAGCAGCAACATGCGAGGATACACGTCTTTCCCGGTAGAGTCGCTGCAGACCGGATGCAAAAAGGTTGGTTGAAGCTGTGACACCAAGTAGCCGAATGACACCTGAAGTAGTTATGAACTGACCAAGCCAACACACCTGCTCCCATGTATGCACGTGTGGTGCACGGATGCCTGCAAGCAGGCACCATTTTGTGCTTTTGTGCAAGCGCGAAGCAGAAGTTGTTGAGCTGTTTGGCAAGAAAATAGATGAGCACATCGCAATGAATGAAGAGACACCGGTGGCTTAAACAAATAACATGAAGACGCAGAATCTTCGGGCTTTCGGTATCGGTTTTTTGTGACTGAAAGCAGCGCTGTGATTCACCGTGTGATGACCCGCGACAAACCGGCAGGGCAAAGCGAAGATCCATCCAAGAGCTGAGCCAACTCAGTGGACAAGTCTTCCAAAGGTGCCCTGCCTGTTTCATAGATAGAAGTGAAGTCGCGACAAGAGCAGGTGCTCTTGCGTATGCAGAGCCGAGTGGCACCGGCTGGCTTTTTGCAATCTCAGGTATGCAAAAGGCATGAGTGGGACAGCGCCTCTTAGCAGCAATGCGAGAAGAGTTGCCAACGCTCATGCGGAATGGTGAAGCTGTCTCTGAAAGAATTTCCCTGAATGCAGAAAGACGTGCCATCGACGGAATCCCTGCCAGGCACCCCCGAGTTTTAGTGGGGTTTTGGAGCGGAATTCGACAGCAACTCAATCGTCGGCTGTCCAACTAAGGCCTACCTATATGCGGAGGAATGATCTGTAGCATCGCTGCAAGCAGCAGGTTTCAATTTGCCGACGAGTTCTCGTAGTTATGCAATCGCCCCCTTCAGAGTCTTGAGAATTTGTTGTTCCTTTTTTTGTATTTTGCGGATCAAAGATTGCCCGGCTGAGGCTTGATATGGTCAAGCGGAGACCTGAGGGAGGGCACACGCTAGGGCTGTCAGGGCTGTCATAGCCCAGGGTTCAGCCGCCTCTTTGCCAAGGGACGGGGGACAAGAGCTTTCTGATGCGCAGACAGAGGGGCTGAAGAAGGCACGCGCCCAGAAGGGGAGGAGTCTAAGGCTCCAACGCCGCTCGATTGTGCTTGCGTACATGGGTAGCTCTCTAAATTCGGATCGCTTTGGGAGTCCTTTCTATAAGGCTGCCGTACTATATTGGGGACGTAAGAAGGGACCCTGATTTACAAAACGCGTCAGGCTTACGATGAGACTCTGCACCTGCAAATCGAGGTAACGAAGGCTGGGAAGGGCATCACTCCCCAAGGAGTCGTAGTGACCTTTCTCTTGTTGTAGTTGTTGTTGCTGCTCCCGTTGCTCTTTTTTTGTTTTTGCTTTTCATGGACCACAACAGTAGCCACTACTGCTGCTGCTGCTGCTGCTGTTGCAGCCGCCACCACCACCACTGCCTCTGCTGATGCTGCTAATGCACTTACGGCGACTAGTACGACGACTACGACGACGACAACCGCTACTACCGCGGCGACTGCTACTGCTGCTGCTGCTGATGCCTACTGCTGCTCCTACTGGTGGTACTGCTGCATGCCCGTGACTACTGACTGCCTACTACCACCCACCTACCCACCCGCCCAGTGCCCACCGACCGACCTCTTTTGCCTACCTACTGCTACGACGAAGACGACTACGAACTGCTGTACTTCTGCTTCTGTCTTTACGCCCTACTACCACCAACAACTAACAGCTTCTAGCTATGCATTACTTACAACTACGAAATACTACAACCACTCCTGACCAGTTCTACGAAATACCACCTCGCACTACTAACCATCACTAATCGCTACTGCCAGTGCTGCGATTGCTCCCACGTGTATTCGGACCACTACCACCGCCACCACCACCACCACCATCACCACCACCACCAACAACAACAACAACAAGCACAACGGCAACGGCAACGGCAACGGCGACAGCAACAGCAACAACAACAGCAACAGCAACAACAGCAGCGGCAACAGAACGAGCAACATAAACATAAGCATAAGCAGTAACAATGGGGTTCTGGCCCACAACAACTATACTACCAGTACTACTAGTACGAGTACGAGCACAAGTACGAGTACTAGTACGAGTACTAGCACTACTACTACTACTACTACTACGACTACTACTACTACTACTACTACTACTACTACTACTATACTAGCTACTACGACTACTACGGTCCGTCTACGGTCCATCTACCTCGTTTGCCGCGCCAACGCTCTGCAAAGAAGTGTGAATGTTTGGCTTGCTTTGGAAGAGAGGTTGTTTTCTGCGTCGATAATTTCATGATTTTTTCTGAAAGCGGTAAAAACCTCGAGTTTTTGCTGATGCTTCTATACTACTACGACGACGACCACTACTACGACTGCTACTCCTCGGAAAAGCGTCGAATCAGAGAACGGAGGGTCGAATCAGAGAACGGGAAGGTCGAATCAGAGAACAAAAGCGTCGAATCAGAGAACGGCCAGCATCAGAGAACGGCTCATTCTCTGATTCCTTCCTCTGATTCGGCGCTCCCGTTCTCTGATTCGACGCATTTGTTCTCTGATTCGGCCCTTCTCTTCTCTGACGGCGTACACCCCTACTCCTCTTCGTCCTATTCCTACCACCACTCCCGCTCCCACTCCGCCTCCCTGCTCCTACCCCTACTCCTCCTCCTACTACTGCTACTCCGACTGCCAGTGGCTGACTCGAGGCCTCCAATGGGCTGTCGAAGCGGCTTGCAAGCAACAGAAGAAAGGTTTCCTTATCGCACAGGGTTGTTTTCAGCATGGACGAGTTTTTGAGGGTCAGTGGCTACCAAGCTTTCAAGATTTCAAGCAGCCCGCAAAGCTGAGGCAGTTTTTCAAGGTCTTCCTTGACAAAGCCCAGACCTCAGCGTTGCCCGCTGAAGCGAGACGCTTGGTGGTCCATCTCTGCCACATGCTTTTGGGCCTCAGTGTAAGTCTCCCAGGCCATCACCCCGCGACCTTTCCTGCACAAGCATGATGCAAGCTCTCATGGCCCCTATAGAAACCTTTCAACATGATTCAGCATAGGTTGCGGTGGGGAGTTCTGCCCGAAAACTAGTTCAGACAGGTTCTGCAAATGCCAGCAAGACAAGCCACGCAGCACGCACCAGTATTCACGGGCACTGGGGCGGGGCGGTCTGTCACCGTCTGGAAGGAAAGAAGATAGACCCAGTGGTTAGACCATCTTAAAGGGATGTCGGTCACGAAGCCAGGACTGTTCGGCGCTGTGCTAAGACTCCTGGACTGCCGGGTGCACCACGCCATGACGCACCCCTTCACTAAAATCCAAGCAAACATGAACAGGCACGACAATGCAATCGCACCCTCAGGCGATGCAGGAAGCGGGGTGGTATCCCGGTCCAGAAATCTTGGAGGCGAGGAACAGCTGACGAGTCGCTGTGTGAGCCAAATCAGAGCTTAGGCCGCCAGTTACTTTGGAGTCTTTACATCTTCGGGTCCCTCATTTTCTGAAGCATGGCCTGGCGTGTCCTTTTTACTTCCGCCCTCCGCCACATCTAGCCCAAGCTCTTACTCCAGAGCCCGAGGCCCTGCACGAGAAGGCGCAGGCCCAAGATGGCTTTGCGTGAAGCTCTGGCTTGAGCCTCGGCTTGGATTAGGAAAAGTTCTGGTTGAAGTCAGAGCTTCAGGCCTGGTAGGAAGTTGTGCTTGCCAAGGATCCGGCAGCATGCCTCTTCTTTGCGGCAAAGAGTGAATTTGCCGGAAGGGTGCACTACATGTGATTGTTTGCAAACTTATGCGAAGAAAAGTGCCATGAACTGCAACATGGCTTCAGTCCGGTCCCGTGCGACCTCCATGGCCACCTGGGTGTTTGCTTGAAATCGTCGGCCCTTTCCGGTAGCCAACGGACGAAAGAGCAAGGACAGAGCGTACTGCCTCAAACCCTTGTCCCACGTGAGAGTCGAGACCCTAGAGCTATTTCACCGAGGGGCCATAATCTCGAGCAGCCACCGTGTGTATTAGTGTATTTGAATAATGACAGTGGGATCTTTCCGAGCGGGGCCCTCAGCATGGTGTTGCTGACATGGTCATCTGCAGCTTGTATTATATCTCAAACTGCAATCAGGAGCCTTGCCTGCCTTGTGCGAGTGTGACAGTCGACATTGCTAGCGATGGCTCCAAGAATCGAGCGTATGATGTAGCATAGTCCACAAAAGAACCCTACATAAAAGGGTCTTTAGACTAGAGTGGCCTTCAGAAGGCGTTGGTCTCAAGCTGCAGGTCTCTCCCGGAAAGCCCTCCCCAGGGGCCCCAAGGGGCCTGCGTGGACCCAGGGAGCGGGTTGAAGATAGGCC